GACAGACAAATTTCTTCTCTTTCTAGTGGTGTGACCAGAGGGGCAGCAGAGCAGGGAGGCAGGGCAGGACCAGGGCTGAGTTATGACTGACTGCAGGTCTGTGTGCAAGACAGCTTTCTGTAGCCTCCTCCTCAAGTGAGCATGGTGAGTGCAAGTTTGTGAGCTGAGTGCAGTAGGCTCGTGTGCTATGGCACAGGGATCCCCAGTGTTCCCTGATCAGACCGTTTGTTTGGTCCTGGTGATCGTGAAACACACAGAGGTTTTTTGAATTCAGAGATGCTGCTGGAGGGTACAAATTGGAGAGACATGATCTGATCTGACATAATACCTACTGAAACACAATAATCTCTCTAAGAAGTTGGCACACTAACTCAAAAAAAAACAAAAACAAAAACAAACAAAAAAAACACCCAACAACAACAACAAAAAAGAACAGCAAATGTTATAATAGCTCTCTATAATAATCATATTATGAAGGTGCTGATGATAGTTCCGTAGTCAATTGTGATCTACAGTAGGTTTAAAGCAGGGCACAATTTCTTGCTCTCCAATACATATGCGGATGCATGGTCCACTGTTCCCTTCTCACCTTTTCAGAGTTCTGAGTTCTGAATTTTAATAGTAGGAAAGGCTCTTGCTCCTGAAACAGCAGCAAAAGGAGGATTCCTCACGTGGCAGAAAAGCCAAAATATGCCTAGAGTTATTCTGGAGGCTTTCAGTCTGAAGGATTTTTATAATGCCACAGAAACATGAGATTTATAATCAAGACTCTTGTAAAAAAAATAAGATTAATGCCTTTGATGAAAGAAAATCACAAAGAAAGCATAGATACTTACTAAAAGTTCCTCAAATGGAGCACTTACTGATATTTGTGTCAACCTATTTTTTTTTTGTCTATATGTTTAAAGCAATGCTTTTCTCTATATAAAGTTTAATTCACAGATTGCTAGAGCAGTCCTAGGAGTGCATTTGTCAATAAATGTTTAGGATCAAACATTAAGTTCTGCCACTTAACCATAATAATGAACATATACTAAGCAGACAGTCTGAATAAATTTCCACCCTATAGAATTGTCCTCTGTTGTGAATTATATTTTTTCCTGGTGGATTTAATCCTCTGACAGAGAAAATTCAATATGTAGATGCATTTATGTTACAGATAGTCTCCTGCTAGCCAACAGATAAGCTTGCTATCAGCAGCCGTGCTTTTGTGACACACTTCTGGGCTGCTGCCAAACTCTGCCTTCTCTCATGAACAAATCAATGTGCAAACATTTAAAAACCCTAAATAACATAATAGATACTTGAATGCAAGCTGAAAGGAAAAGAACTTTCAAAACTGTTGCACTGAAATGATGTAGCTAATGCAAATCTCTAAAAACAAGGAAATAAGGGAGAACAGTAGCACACAGCTACCATTTCCAGAGCTGCCCTGCCTCACAGACTCCACACATCAGCTTTTCCTCTAATCCCCAGTGCAGCAATCTCCTGTGCCACTGCCACATCACCCCCTAAACAGAGCACACAGCACCAGTGATGCTGGAAACAGGACTCTGGGTAAAGACTGTGTGGTGTGTTGTTTGTTATAAGAGCAGTGCAAAGATGTAACGTGTATCTGTATTCACTGTTTAGAGCTCTCACCTGTTTTGTCCTCTCTGGTTTTTGTGAACTCTCTCTCTCTGTAGTTCTTACTGCAATGACACAGGCAGCTATAGAGGAAAGATCCTTTTTTTTCCCCTCTGCTACCTCTCAAGCTACAAGATGCATGCTTTGAGTGATGCCTGTTAGTGGGAGCGGTGCTGGAGCGCTGGGATCAGAGAGCTCCCCAGGGGTGGGCAGACAGCTGTGGTAAAAGAAGAGAGCTGAAGAAAGCAAAGTGACCTCAGTGGGCAGCTTTTGAGGAAAAAGGCTGAGGGAAAAAATAAGGGAAAACTAATTGGGAAGAGGTTAATATGTGAGGGCAGGAAAAAATATAAAATAAAAAAATAGAAGAAATGAAAAACATGGAAAAAAAAAAAAAAACCAGAGAAGCAGAATTAAAAAGTATAAACAATAAAACAAGAGAAGCAAAAAGATGAATCACATCTCTGTCCTTACTGAGAGTCTGCTTTTTTTTTTTTTTTTTTATTTTTTTTTTTTTTTTTTGGTAAGTGTATTTATAAACTTCATTAGCTTTTTTTTTTTATTATTTTTTTTTTCTGGCTGGAGGATATAAAAGATGCTAATGAGTTCTTATGCAGGGTAAATAGTTTAAGGGGATGATATTAGTGATACTGAAGTATTAAAATAAAGATCAAAGCAATGACTGCCAGAATAGGGTTTCTAGGCTATCCTATACAGTTACACTCCAAGAGATTAAAGACTCATTTGAACATGAAAAGAGGAAAAATTATCGGGTTCATAGCCACTATAAGAATGGCTGGGTTACAAAACATGATAAAGGCCCGATTCTATCAGGCTGAACAGAGCTTTAGGAGTAACTCCATCGACATCAGTGGGGCCTCCTCAGTAGGATCTGTTTCTCGGCAAAATGAAGGGTGACCCCAAATGAACCAGTGGGGTCTGTAGAGAGCACTCAAGCTTGGTGACAAACTTCAGTACTTATCTCAGTTTCTGTTCTGGCCTCCGGAGAAAGAGATTTGACAGGAGTGCACTGGACCGCACTGGGCAGCTCTTCTTTCTCTCAAAGCCAAATCTCTCTTGGGTGTAAAAGTTTATGGCAAGTTTATGAAGTAGGTGAAAAAAGATCTTGAATGTCATAGAAGTCACAACACAGGACAGAGAAAGCCAGGTAAAATTTTTGTCTCTGTTGCAAAGATCATAAGTTACGGACATGTGCTCTTAGACCACATCAAGCTTTTAGAGAGGAGGAGAAAAGCTCAGGTTGGCTGATCATAATGGCACTTCAAAGATGTTGTACTTCTTGCCATTTCCCTCTGTAGACAAGGGAAAACAGTACTACATTGTAGTGCAAACCATAATGTTTGAGATGGAAATCCAAAATTCGCTGGGTTTCAACTCCAGAACTTGTCAGCCATAGCTAAAAAGCCACTGTAAATGTGTACTCTTAGGGTCTGGTGTTTGTACCTATTCATTTTCATCCCTTCCTGTCTGATATATCCAGCTCTGTTTATATGTCTCAGATCTGCTATTACCAATATGTGCTTATGATCACTGGCAAAAGATTTGTAAAAATGAAGCAAAAGTCCAAAGGAAAAATGCTTATAATGCCTTCCTAATTACCTTAGGATTATGGCTTCCAACATATACTTGCACACTGTGATTTGCATTCACCTGTACATACGCAAGAAATCTTTATTATGTATCACTCCCACTGCTGACAGATGATAAAGTAGAGAATAGAGGTTACAAAGGTAACAGCACTCCACCCACAGTTTTTTCTTGAGATACAGTAACGTAAGGTATTTTTGAAATAAATAGTATTTCATAACCTTTCTTGTACTGCCAAGGCTTCCAGGTGGAGGCAACCCAAACACAGACCTTCTCTCAGCTTTGAGTCTTGGCACAGAGGTCACATGAAATAAAAACATTCCTGGGCAGCAGACAGGCGGTTTTATATGGGTCATTGCTTTTGATTTTTATGTGCCAGGGGACAAACCTGCCTCTCTCGACCCTACACTAAGGAACACAAAGCTTTAACCCATTTGGGACTTTCTTTTCCTTTAGCTTGTCATGAGGATGTCTAGGCAAGTTGCAAGTAGGAGAATTGCTGAGAGGAAACAATGAAAACAAAATGGAAGCTTTAATATATTCATGCTCTCTGTCCCCATCCCTCCTTTTCTATGCATCAACAGTTTAATAACCTTGCAAAAACAAACCGGAAACTAGAAGACCCTTTCCTACCCAGTGTCACAAAATGCACATCGTGGGCTAAGAAGTGTTATGAAGAGGGGTGATTTTTAAAAATGTTTATTTTTCCATCTGACATGAGTTAGGACTGCATCTTAAAAGCTGCTCTGACACAATAAGCTTGTATTTAGAAGTAAAAGAAAAAAATCTGCTTATGAAGCTCAAGTTAAAACAGACGTGGCATTTAAATGAGATACATGAGCAGAAAAAAAAAGAAAAGAAAAAGAAAGCAGTGAAATAACTTGTATAATCTCTTCACTATGAAAATAAACCACTGTTACATCCACGCTCTTCTTATGTAGGGTAAACAAAACAGATGGGGGATTTCCCACTGCTGGTTGCTTGCTCCTGAAAATAACTATCCTCAGTTTACAAACTTTCAGCTGTCATCCCCCGTTTATTTCTCCAGCAGTTTCTGTTGTGTTTATACAGTGACGACAGAGGTGATGCCGCACGTCTCCCTGCTGCTTACCCCTTTGCCCCGTGTAGCCAGAGAATTCCATGCCGGGATTCCCTTTAACTCTCTTCCATTCTTCGTTCAGTGCCTGACGTTTTGTGCGTCCTTGTCACGCTCAAGTAGGCACGGGTGAAAGATAAACACGCTTGGTTCATTAGTGGGAGATTCCTCCTTTCTGCTTTCCTTGGGGCGGGGAGAAAAGGCTCCTACGGATAGCGGAACCCCGCCTGCGTTCATCCCGTTGCCTAAACAATGGGTTTACTTGAACGTATAAAGACATCGCCGTAGAGAGATCCTTTAAAAAATGTTTTTGCTGTCCTCAGCCGTAGGGCGAGCGATCCCTCATTTGCTGGAGAGGGCTCCCTCCGCCCCTTCCTCCTGCTGCCCCCGCCTCCCGTGCCCATATATCACTACTCCCGGCACGACCACGCACCCTGCCCAGCGCTCCACCCGCCCGCCCGAGCGGGGAAGCGGGGCCGGAGCTTCCCCTCGCCCCGGGCACCGCCAGCTCCCGGACAGCGCCCGCACCCCGCCGGCTCCGCTGCGGCCCGGAGCTGTCCGCGCCCGCCGGGTGCTGAACCTCCCGCAGGCGCCGCGGGGGATGGAGGCGCCCGGCGGCCACGACCCCGCGCCGCCCGCCTGAGCCCGAGCCCGCGCACGCGAAACCGCGGCCATGGAAGAGGAGCTGAAGTGTCCGGTGTGCGGCTCGCTCTTCCGCGAGCCCATCATCCTGCCCTGCTCGCACAATGTCTGCCTGCCCTGTGCCCGCACCATCGCCGTGCAGACCCCGGAGAACGAGCAGCACCTGCCTGCCCTGCTCCAGCCGCGGGGCTCCGCGCCGCCCGCGACCGCCGCGGCCGCGCCGGGGCCCGGCTTGGGGCCGGGGCCGCCCGCCTCGCTGGACTCGGAGTGCGCGGCGGGCGGCGGCGTAGACCACGCGGACAAGCTGAGCTTGCACAGCGAAACTGACAGCGGCTACGGCTCCTACACCCCCAGCCTGAAGTCTCCCAACGGCGTGCGGGTGCTGCCGCTGGTGCCCGCACCCCCCGGGGCGACGGCGTCTCAGAGGGGCGCCGGCCCCGCCGGCTCGTCCCTCACCTGCCCGCAGTGCCACCGGAGCGCCTCCCTGGACCAGCGCGGCCTCCGCGGCTTCCAGCGCAACCGGCTGCTGGAGGCCATCGTGCAGCGCTACCAGCAGGGCCGCGCCGCCGCCGCCGCCGCCAAGTGCCAGCTGTGCGACCGCAGCCCTCCCGAGCCGGCGGCCGTGCTGTGCGAGCAGTGCGACGTGCTGTACTGCGCCGCCTGCCAGCTCCGCTGCCACCCTGCCCGCGGACCCTTCGCCAAGCACCGTCTGGTACCGCCGCCCGGGACCCCGGGCCCACCCGGAGGGGGCGACGGCGGCGGGAAGGGGGCGGGCGGCGGGCGTAAACTGCCGACGTGCGCCGAGCACGACCTGGAGAACTACAGCATGTACTGCGTGAGCTGCCGCAGCCCCGTGTGTTACCAGTGCCTGGAGGACGGCAGGCACGGCAAGCACGAGGTCAAGGCCCTGGGCGCCGTGTGGAAGCAGCACAAGGTAAGCACGAAGCACGTGCCGATGGCAAGCAGGAGCTGGGGGGCCAGCAGGACTTTGTCTCCCCACTGTCGGTTCAGAACTTCTGTGTCCATCAACATCCCAGGTGTTTTCTTCCTTGCACGGCACTCTTTGCTCTTCAATGCTCTCTCCAATCCACAGTCTCTGCTCAGAGTCTTGTGGTGTTGCACAAACTCCTGCTGCTGCCTTCCCTTACCTTGGCCAGGCTGAACCAGGCCTGGACGGGCATCTGGCTTTAGCTAGCCTTGCTGCGCTCTGGACCATCCCATGCAGGCCTGTGGGCAGCAGGAGGAGGAGGGGTGGCCTTTCTTTCATTTCTCACACCCCTTTCACCTTAACAGGAGCTGCCACAGATGTTTTTCACCATGACTTCTTATCCACCTGTCAATGAGGGAGAGTAACCCTCAGCCACCCAAAGTTTTTAGGTGGAAGGCATGACAGGAGCTGTCAAGAGATGTCATTTTGTCTTCTGTGCCTCAGAAAGATCTTCAACTCTCCTCAGTTCTCAAAGCATCATAGAAACGCAGAGCATCCTGAGCTGGCAGGGACCCACCAGGATCACTGAGCCCAGCTTCTGGCTCCACACAGCACCACCCAAAATCCAAACCCTGTATCTGTGAGTGTTGTCCAAACACTCCTTGAACTCCAGTGCTTGGGTCTGTGACCATTGCCTTGGGCAGCCCATTCCATGCCCACTGCCCTTTGGTGAAGAACCTTCACCAAAGAGGCCAGAAGGGATGGTTGGAGGGACCTTCATGACATGAGTAGACAACAATAGAGTGGGCTCTGGGGACAGGTGCAGCTTTACCAGATTCCCACTACATTGCACTCTGGCTTGCTCTTCCCTTCCCTGGTGCTTTGTAGTTCTGGAGGCCCCCGGGGACATGTCAGAGGCAGCCACTGCACAGCACAGGCAGCAGTTTTTGTAGATCTGCTGGATCATGTGACAATGCCTACCATGCAAAAGTCTTTGCAGCCATTTGAATAAAGAGCAAAACGTGACCATAACAGTTTAAGAAGTATGTGATGTTAGCTCATTCTTATTAAGAATGATGGACCCTCTAAAATGATTTGTTACGACAGATGCACATACAGAGGGGAATATACATCTTCAGTGCTGACAGTGGTACTTTGGAGCTTCCAGATAGAGGGAAAAGGCTTTTCCCACAGGTCATGTAAAGAACACTTGGCTAGCTTTGCTGGCCACAGGATTCCCTTCCTCTCCTGCAGTTAGCACCATAGGAAACCCAGAGAAATTCTCTTATCCAGGGAGAACCACGGGTGGGGACAAAGGCAAGAATGGTCTCTTTGTTCTCCAGCCATAGAGTGGGAGAGCACAAGCCTAAGACTTTCAGTAAGAGAAAATTTTGACTTTTGATTTTAAGAATTCCCAAAAGAGGCTTGGAGTGAGCATGATAGTTTGTGGATCTGAGAATCCTTCAGTATGCATGCCAGAGTTTGCATGCTCTTTGCCAAAGGCTCTGCCAGCTCCTCCCTAATGTGACTGTAGGGGAGTTGTTCTCTTGGTGCAGAAGGAACAGATCATCACTACTGCTAACGGCAGGATCTAGGTCTCTACAGAATTACTCAAATGAGCAGTGACTGAGCTCACTGTTGAAACATGGTTAATGTTCTCTGTGCTGTGAGAGACTAGCTTGTGTTGTGTTACAATTTACTTTAAGATTGGTTGAAGCCTTTCTGAACAGTGTGATAAACTTTGGTGTAGTCAGTGTGTGCTGACAGTCATTTTCCTGTTTTCCTGTTGTTGAAAAAATGAACAAGAGCTTGTTGGTTTGTCCACATTTTTTTTTTCTGGAAGTACCTTATCACAAAATGTGATTCCTCTTGATTTATAGACTCGTGGTGGAAGATCTAGTGGAAGCTTAAATAAGCTTCAGAATTAACTGATTTGGGGACTCTGACATTGAGCTCTTGTAGCTACTACTTTTCCTAGAACAATATACTTGGCAGAAAATAAACGTAGTGGAATCATAGACAAATAGCCTAAATCATCAGCTCACATTCATTTGGATAAATTGCTCTAGAATTAGATACTTATAATAATAGTTCTCACATACAGCAATTTCTACTGGTTTATTACCTGAAGCGACTTCGGCCAAGCCATAAGTTACTCATACTGAAGTATTACTGCATGCGGTAAGCCAAATGGAATTCAAGCAGTGTGTGTTCTCCCCAGATAGCCTGGCAGAGGTGGTAGAGCAGCAGGTAGAAGGGATTCTCCATGAGCCTGCTCAGGTGGCAGGTCAGCACCTGTTCCCCACCAGCTGATAAGCACCTGCTTATCTTATCCTAAGGGAAGGGGCAGCATTCTTCCCCTGTAAAGAGTTCCACTGCCATGCCCCCTCCTCTCACACCTCACAGTTCCATCCCACAACAGAAAATTAAAAACTAACAATTTTCGTTCTTCTGGCCCTAGAATTGTTTTTCAAATATCACTGCCCATCTTCTCCTTCAGGATCCATTTTCATTCCATTTGTGTATTGTCCTTCTCTTCAAATTGTTTGACTTCCCCTTTGCTTGAGTCTTACACAGGGAAGAAAGCTACACACAGTAGAAAACTACAGACTTTTTGGTGTGATGTCTCAGACCATGCAGTGAGAAGGGCATTTACTCCCAGCTGTGCCAATGGCTTGATGGCTGTGCAAGAATTTTAGGCCTTTGTTAATGGTACAGGTTTGCCCGTTGACCTGCTATATGTTTTTCAGTAAAATAAGAAATGGTGGAAAATATAAACAGGGCCACAACTGCATAAATCAGCTGTAAATCCACTGACATAGATGGTCATTGTTACACTCGATTACACTACTTGCCTATCTGGACCAACAACTTTTGGTTATTAAGTAAAACTTTGAAATCTACGGCCAGAGAAGTTGGTTTAGGTCTTCACAGAAAGAAGAGATATAAGTTCGTAGGCCTTTTGACCTATGGATGTGAAAACAGATGGTGCATACTTTTCACAATCTGCACACTGGTGTTATATGTACAAAATGCCAAAAGAAACTTCACCTGGACAGGTGTGTGAAAGGCAGGCAGGCAGCTGAAGGCAAGTGTTGGAGTCTGCATGCCTGCTTTGATTTGCTGGTAAGAAGGAGTTGTGTTCCCAAGAACACGAGGGCTCTTTCAGCTTGCAGCACCAGGATAAGCTTGTCTAATCAATAGCTAATCTGCTGCTGAAGAGAGATGAAGGGAAAACAAGTTAAATGAGCATGAACTGCTCGGTTGAAAGAGGGCATTGGCATTATCTGGTTCATTTTCTAAAATCAAAGGAAGCATCAGTCTTCTGTGCCTATCTGGATTTAATTACTCACCCTCATTATCTCTCTGTTCCTGTCTTTGATAGAAGCAGGAACCTTGTCCACCTCCAGAATCTTTGCTTTTTTTCTTGAAAAACTAGTATTGAAGTAAAGATAACTGTAGAATACTGCTTGTCAGGAGTCATTAATTGTTGTAGTCAGTGGAGCTCGTAACATTTCAGTTTGGCTTCAAGTGAATATTCAGCAGCATGCGAGATCACTCTGAGTGTGCAGGGCATTTTTTATGGTTTGGTTGGTTTACTGAGGGCTTAGTCATGTAGTTCTGTTTGGTTTTAATGGGAAGTGCATGACTAGATTTCACTGCTTTGTAAGGTATCTTTTACAAATGCTTAGAAAAACAGGGCTATTACCTCTAAGTGGGTTTCATAAATAGAGATCTGATCTTCTCCCTGGTTCCACACTGTCGTCGTATTAATGCAACCACAGTTTTTAATGAGCACAGAAATTCACTTTAGAGTCATCTGATCAATGATGTTGTCAAATTTCTATTCCAGTCTCTTGGAATGGTAGAATGCCAGGAGGCGGACATTACTGCACCAGTTGATAGTAGTGCATGTTGGTTAAAATTCATTGGTGTGATTTTGGATTTTTACCTGATGACCATCTGTAACTTTTGTCACTTTTCTGTCACTTTTCTGTAACTGTCACTTTTCTGGTGAAATGCACCTCGATTTGAGAGTAAGGGCTGATGTGGGAGAAGTGTAAACTTTACTTTTGTTGGGACCAATCCTTGAAACACTGGTATGTTTTTGTTGGGCCAGTCACTAACAGAGCACATGGTGCTTATGTGCCCTCTTTTTTTCTTCTACATCTCCACTACTTTGTCACATGCAAGTTCCACCTTGTCATACGTCAACTGGACAAACCAAAGTCCTTGTGGGTGGAATGGGAAGTGCAGTCAGCAAGGGTGGGCTTTAAACTATGGAAAACACATCAACCCAGAGAAAGAAGATCCAAGTCCTGATCACTTGTGCTGGAGGAGAACAGGACCCTTTTAAGGAATTATTGTTTGTTTTTGTGGCCTCAGATAGCTTTCATAGCAAACAGAATTGCTTTACAGTTTTATGATGTAGCAGAAGTTTATGCAAGAGCCTATTAAATGTTCAAGCATCTAGCACTGTGATTGTTGTACTCCCCACTACATTTGTTACAAATTAGTTGTAGTAAAGCATATTTCATTTTCAAATATAGCACTAATGGAATGCCTACTAGTGGGCATAAAGAGGAAGGTCTGTGTGAATATGAGGGGAAAAAAATACAAATATGACTTCATTCTTTATAAATCAGTTCTGCTTCCAGTAAGGTGTGCTAGTGCCCCCTGCCCACACGTCACTGTAGGGCTGTGACCTCAGAGATGGGGCACGCAGTGCACACAAGGAGGTGCTGGTCCTGCTCCTTTTTGCCCTGAGCACCCAAGTGAGTCCAAGGAGAGACTGTCTAAGGGCATTCGGGTGGGAAATAAGCCCCAAACTTTGCATGCATGAGGAATTGATCTGTGCCCTTTTCAGAAGTGGAACAATTTACTCTCCTTCAGGAAAAAGGTGGAAGCAGGGAATGAGTGGTGACTTGTGGATTACAGTTGGGTCTCCTGTAAGAAATTCTCATAGCTTTTGTGCCTTCCTATGCTCTGTCTCCAGGCACCCTCTACTCCTATGGAGTCAAGAGACTGCAACCTTTTGGAAACCTGACTTTAGCAAGGAGGCTTCATTTTCTGTTTCTTTATGTCAGTTGAATGTCTGTTTGATGAGGATAATACTTGGGCATTGGCAGTCTGATAAATAGCCATTGTGGCAAAGAAGCAGACCCATGAAAAGAGAATCTAACCAGTAGGACTTGGCATAGGAGCCCACAGCCCAGCATTAGGTGCATGCCCTGTGAGAAAGGTTGAGCATGACAGCAAAAAACATCACCAATGTCAGTCAGATTGGGGTCCATCCCATCCCTCCATGTTATGCTGGCAGATACCTAATGCTGGATTTGGACTGGCCACAGGCTGACAGATGGAAAAGCATGGTTTCTGTAGTCTCAGTCAAAGAAACTGTGCAACGACTGCACCTTCAGGTTCCTCCTTCTTTCTCCAGACCCTGAAAGTCCTTCAAGAAGCTGCTTGTTCACTGTAAAGATCTCAGTTGCAAGCTAAGCAACAGGAAGCTGGGTCTTCAGTATGGGCTTACAACAAATAAACTCCTCGTCCCTCACCTGCCAAGAGCAAGGGGAAGAGGTTGTTTTAGCTATTCCAGAAATACTCACCCATTTGTTGGATTGGAGCACGGAAAATTGAAGCCCTAAAAGGACATAACAGTGAAATCTAAAAACGCAGATTTATCTCTACAGTCATAGGTTTAGTAGAATGTACAATGCTTATAAAGATTTCAGGCTTTGATGAAGAGAAGCACTATTTTGGAAAGCACTTGAGAATTTCACATCACGACAGATGTATCTGTGTAAGACTATTATTTCCTTATATATGTGGGTAGTAGTCTTGTAAAAAAGTATTTTGACTTACAGAATCACTGCAATAACGGGGAATGTGCAGACACAATACTTAACTGCCCCCACATGCATATTTTTCCTTTATTAAATCTTACTACAATTAAAATCTTAACTCTTCTAGCACAAGCAGCCTGCATGTATAAGAATATGTGTGACAGCAAGTAAGCCTTTTAGCTCATTGTTACTTGTTAAAAGCAAGGATTAGTAAGAAACATATTTACATTTTATCTCCAATTTTTCCTTTTATTGTTTTGTTGTTTGTTTTTTTTCTTTTCTCTTGCAGGCACAACTGTCTCAGGCTTTAAATGGTGTTTCAGATAAAGCAAAGGAAGCTAAAGAATTTTTGGTTCAGCTGAAAAATTTATTGCAGCAGATACAGGTAACTGTAGAATGTTGGCTGTTTTGATTATATGTAATCAATAGAACTGAGTGAATAATTTATCTGATGGCTTTGTTTCCTTTACTGTTCTTCTATTTCCTGGAATCATCTAACCTTTCTTGGGTATAAGCATGCTAGGCAAAATTACTCATCAAATAATGCCTATGAGCCTGTTTTAGCTTCTGGATTGCTGTTTATTGCAAGAAGCTGATACTCAGTACTGGACACCAGAGCTGAGTCGATTTGCATTTGATTGAACCCCTCGGCCATGCTTTCAGCATCCTTCCTGCTGGCTCTTCCTTGAATTGGACATTTAGGATAAATTTTCCTTTTTACCCACTCAGAATTTATTAATCGTTTTTCATCTAGCATTTTTTAAAAATGTACCTGTTGCTGGATAAAATCCAGTCAGCCTGTTTATTAGACGGTTTGTAGGAAGTCAAAAAAGAGGAAAGAAACACATGCTGCTAAGTCAATTTGATTGTTTATCAAAGGAGAAGTATTTCCATGCACGCAATTGCGCAGCTTGAACAGTCAGAACAGGGCTCACGGTGAGTGCAGTAATTGAGGGCACAAACCCCAAAGGAAGCAAGTTCTGTTTCCAACCAGATTTGCACTCTAATCAGTGCTGGAGGTCATATGGTCCTCAACTCCCTTCTTGCCATGCAGAGTGGGGCTGCAGACGTGCTGCTGTGCTCTTGAGCTTTGTGGTGTCTGGAAGGAGATACTTCCTATCTGCAGTCACATTGTCTGCTCTACAATATGCATGCTCTTCTTTCATCAACAAGCAAGTCTTATTTCTGTTGCTAACAGAAAGCCAAAGCAGAATTTCAACAATCTGCGTTTGGTTTAGGATTAAATCATTTCAAAAATGTCGCTTAACACTGCAAATTATGGATTTGTACTGCAAGTGCTGCCAAAGCTCTCAGATTGCCACAGAGCGGTACAATCACACACCCTCTCTGCCTTCTGCAGCATGGTGGGGAAGAGAACAAAGAAAGATGAAGAACCTGGTAAAAAAAGGGCACATCTAGCTGAAAGAAACCAGTGTGAAGACACTGGGTGGTGCCTGTAACGTGCTGTGTTTTGAATACATTGAGGTTTTTCTCAGCTGACCTTTGCTATCTGAAAGTTAAACAGCCCATCTAGCCTAGTCACCTGGGCTTCTTTCATTGTCCAGGAAGGATTGACACCTCTAAGCGTACCGGCAGCTTCCTGTGCATACTGGCAGCTATTTTGGGGCTGCAATAACTCATCTAAAGCTTGTTGCCACTCTTTCCTTGATTCACCTAGCTCCATTAAATATTTTTTCCCCCTCTTAAAACCCAAAGGTGGTCTATTATGACTATTTATGACTACGATGTAAAATCTCTTAATGTGTTTCAATAAAATCACTGGCAAATTGTGTGCAAAGCAGCACACAAAGCTGCATATGTATGCCCAAGTGAAACAAGACTAGGGTGTTACTCTGGGTGCTAGGTGACAATCACTCACACTGTCTGGCTCCTGTGGAGCTCCTTGGCATCATTTTGTCTCATGAGAAATTGCACTCTTTCCAGGTGAAGGAATTGGTACAGGGATTGTTCCCATTGGGCAGATTCAGTGCAGTCACTTTGTTTAGGGGAAGGGTTTTAGAAATGTCATGAGCTGATCTGTACCTTTTGGCTGTTGGACCAAAGAGTAGTTCTTGGATTGTTTTTTTTTGTTTGTTTGTTTTTGTTTTGTTTTTTTTTATTTTGGCACAGGGACAGATAAACATTTATACATGTAGATTCATACCCAGAACCATATATCTCAGGTTATCTCTATATATCTGCAGGTTATTTCTAATAGGTGCTTTCTGGTGGTCACCTCACGCATACATACAGACACTTACCCCTCAGCAAAAATGCCTTATAAATTAATTTTTACACAAAGGAATGAGCCACACGTACATTTTATTATCTTGTTTCAGTGCATTCCAAGCCACTTAGCCATCCGCACTCTTTATCTCCTCACTGTGAATGTCAGAGCTATGAGGAGCAGAGCTTTTGTCTTCCCCGGGGCAGATTGCAAATTCATAATCTCTTTTTCCTTTTTCCTGTTTTGCAGAGCCATTGCTTTCTCCTCTTCTTCCTTCCCTTCACCTTTTTGAGGTCACTTCTACATCTGATAGTCTCTTTTTACAAACTTCCTGTTCCTCATCACCCCTCTTATTTCCTTGCTCCTCCCTAATGCTCTCATTATCTGATTTTCACATTTTCCCATCTGCTGTAACAATTTCATCCTTTCTCACTTGGAAGAGGCATATTGCCAAACACCCTGTTTAATGTGTGAGCAGAAAATTAAGAGAAAAATGGTGCACCACCGCCATGTACAGACTCACGCTACATACGAAAACAGCACATCAAGAGAAGCTTGATAGAAAGAAGCTTAAGAGAGAATCAGGTGTGATAAAAGCTGAGGAGGGAAAGATACAAACAGGAGGTGTCTAGGATAAACTTGTATACAGTAACCAAGCTAGCTGGTGTCTCTCCTCAATCCCTTCTTGCTGGCAAAGGAGTAGAAAAGAGCGGCATAAACAAAAGAGTTGAGAAACAGTAACGAATTAGAGATGTGTGATGGCTTTCCATTGACATGCTTCTCCTTAAGCAGATGTTTAAAGTCTTTTTTTTTCTTTTTTTTTTTTTTTTTTTTCCCATGATTTGGGAACTGGGAGTAAAGCTGATAGGACAGCAGAGCATCTTGTGGTAATAGGACCTTGAAAACTTTTTCCTGATTTCCTCACCGGCAGACGAAGTGAGGGAGAGCTTTCCTTCAAATGGGTGCTGCAGCACCAGTTCCACAAGCAGGGAAAGTTATCACCTGCAAGCAGAAGTCGTTTTTGTATCATTCACCCAGATTTCTTCAGCTGTACTGGGAGTTGGTGGTAGCACAGTTTGTTCCTCATTTACCCTATAGAAGTTGATGGAGGGCTGAGTGATAGCCAGGCTTTGTAGGGGGTACAAGTTGTGCACCACACTTGCTGACCTCTGCCCAGCAGGGTTTTACCACAGTGTCAACAAAAGACTGTGAGTACTAGCTAGTGATTTCAAAGGAGCTACAGTGGGTTAATTATGCAGAGTGGGACAGACTCCTCTTATGTATGAGTGTGCAGTAGGTTTTGATTTTATGTTATGGTGTACTACATCTGCAGTCTGAAAAGTGCCAGTAAATCAAGGTTTTCATAGAAGCCCACTTTGCAGCATGGCATCTTCCTGTTTCATCTTATAGCATGCAGCTATTAATGACACAGCAGTAATGAAATCAGAAAGGCAATAGGAATGAGAAAGCCTTGAAAGGATATCTCTGAATGGAAAAAAACAGGTAAGAATAAACAATAGTGTAGCTATAAAGCATGTTTTCTTTCATGAATATGACTCTTCTTCTAGGAGAATGGATTGGATTACGAAGCCTGTCTTGTTGCTCAGTGTGATGCCTTGGTTGATGCATTAACGCGACAAAAGGCCAAACTGCTCACAAAAGTGACCAAGGAACGTGAGCACAAACTAAAGGTAAGTGCAGCTCTCAACAGCTGTAAGTATTCCGCTCAGTGTGGCTGTTGATACCTGGTATTACTGTGCATTTTGCCAAGTCCCCAGCCCTTTACACAGTGCAAATTCCTAACGATCCAATCCTGAAGTTCTTCAGCAGGTTCTGTTCAGCAGTTTGGTAGAAATGTGCTTGTACACTTAACATTAGGCATGTGTGGATCCTTCCAATGGCAAAAAACACTTCTGCTCAGGTATAACCTTGGGGATTTTGGTGTCTCTTCAAATCTTTAAAATTCAAGCAAGCCTCCAGATGCCCATGTGCAACTTAGAAGATATTAAAGAAACACTGTAAAGGAAGGAAAAGAAAGCTACAACTGGATGAACAAAGTGGAAGTGAAAAAATGGATAAGTTTCTTGAAATGTGGAACTGTATAAGTGATTCTGAAGTATTACAGTGTGGGTAACATTAATAGTATCTAAGACAGGAGGAGATATAAAAGTGAAAAACAACATGAAAAGCAATGAATAAAATCAACCTGAGATCAGCGTTTGGAAATCTCCATGCTTAACAAGAGCCAACAATAAGGAGATGATTCTAACAGTATTGCTTATCCCACTGTTTGTTCCTGTTATCCTGGGGTAACTGAAGAGTTGTGCTACTGAACGCAATGCTACTAGGCCTAATTTACAGCAGAATAAAGTCCAAAATCTGAAAAAAAAGAAAAAAAAAAAGAGATGCCTTTTAAAATTCTTAATTCTAGCAGTGCATCCTTAAGCTGAACAGGATTGATGATGAATTGTGAAGAGAACAGTAGAGTATAATCTGCAGTTATCCTCTGTAATATTTGTCTTTTAAGGCAAAGATTTTTCAAAAGCTCAAATTTTTAGTGAAAGCGCAATTGTAAATGTGAATATTGCAAATGCAAAAATATGTTATGTGCTCCTTCTGCCCCCAGCAAACCTGAGCTTTGAGCAATTAATCTGCTCTGAAAATTGAGATTCCCCGTGCGCAACATTTTGCCAAACTAATTATCGGTATTTACAATACAGAGCAAGCGAGCGTAGCTGATGGAGTTGTGGCAATGGCCATATGGCAGCTAAATTAAGCACTGCTTTTACACGCTCTCCCATTTGTTGCCTCTTGTGAAATAATTTTATACATTTCACTGTAAGCTGAAGCAATTATCAGAACTGTGCTGATGCCTGTTCTCCAGGTTGTTTGGGACCAGATAAACCACTGTACGCTGAAGCTACGTCAGTCAACAGGGCTTATGGAGTACTGCCTAGAAGTTATCAAAGAAAATGATCCCTCTGGGTTTTTACAGGTATTTTCCTTTTGGGTGAACTGGGGTAAAAAAGATCTAAGATAAAAACATTTAACATGCAAATATAGAAGTATACAGCTTTGCTAATTAGCGTCTTCCCCTTCTAAGACAAATTCCTGCTGATAATGTCTATAAGACCTAGCCAAAAATCATGCCAATTACAATTTGAATATCATTAAACCTTATGGTTTCACTCCATCCTTTCTGCAACAGACAACTTATTGGAAGCTTGTGCTAAGGTCTGAAGAGTTTTTAAATGTGTAGAAGCTCCCTTGGAGTCTGCCTCTGTAAATATATTGAGAGAGATTTTATGATTGGATCCCGTGTAAGCCTACAGCAAGGAAGATTGACAGGTATCTCTTTGCTGTCTGACTCCCTCTGGCTCATTTGCAGGAGCTGTGCAACCCAGGTCCCAGGGAGGAAGCAGGATGAGTCTTTCATAGTTATCGTCACTGAGACGAGGGAGAAGATGGGGCAAGTCATGAAAGGGTCAATTGATGAGAAAAAACACGTGTTTTGTTATCCAATCAATTACTTGGCCTAACTAATTGCATTTTATTAACTATTTTCCTTAATTATTATTTTGCCATATTAGTTTTATTGCCTTATTAATTGCCTAAGAAGAAATGGCTCCAAAGAAAATGGCCGATATGTGACTGTCAGCCAAATGGGGCATGCCACACACATGAATGCATGAATGCAAGGCCTCTCACAGTATCCCTGAAAAACAGAATGAGAATTATCCAACATAAACCCATTAGCACTCCAGATTGATGGTTACTGTCACATCTGGTCTCAAACAAGAGTTAAGACTGTGTGATGTATATTAATCCCAGAGACTGTACAGCATTTTAGCAGGCTGTCAATTGGATACTACAGGACAAATGTAGCCTTTAGGTCTAACAAACATGCTTAGGTACTTCAGATGCTTTGTTTACCACTTAGCTTACTTTTTCTATAACCTTTGGGTCTTCATTCTTGGCACTCACCTTTCATATAAAAATGTACTTTTTTTTTTTTTTCTTCTTTTTTCCTGTTCATTTTTTCTGGTTTATCTGACAATAATTTCAAGGTAACCAGCAAACACTGAAGTACTGCATTACTCAGAGCAACTGCTCCTGCAGACAGGATATAGAAACACAGCCAAGAGACCCAGCAGCCCTGTAAGTGACTCCAGGGTTACAGGAAGGCTCCTCCTTACCACACAGAGTGGCTGGGACTTTCTGGTACAGTAGTCCAGACAGAAGGATCTTCCAGTGACAGTAGTGAGGAAGGATATCTGAACTCCTACAATAAAGCAAAACCCACTCTGACCTATCCAGAAAAATTTTACTCTCTTTGATTGACAGGAATGTCACTCAAAAGGATTACAGGTACTCAAATGGCATAACTGAATTCAAGGAGGTTGAGTTCATTGATTTGTGTGGAGACAAGATCTCACTTACAGAGGACATTGTGATCATCTTATTCTGACTTGTGGCCTAAGTGACTATAGGCTGAGCAAGAACGAAGATTTAAACACAAAACTGTTTTTGATGTAATGATAGTGAGTCCATCGTGTTCTTAGGAAATCTGTGTGACAACCTATCTCCCTTATTGTGAGAAATAAACACCTTCTTTCCCATTTGATTTTTGTATTTCTTTCAACTGAATCATCTCTGCTAAATGGAGAGAACCTCTGACATGTCAGCCTCTCTTTAAGCAACTGGCTGTTTGAACAGGAGAGCAAAGCCATACAGTGCAGATCAGAGAACAGAATTCTGAAGTGACGAGGCATTCAGAGATGTGATCTATAACAGTACTAATGGCCTTTACAAATGCAGTTTTTATTTTTGTACTCTAAGATGAGAATGTTTTTTGAAAGGAGGAGACCAAAGGATATAACATAAATGGAACTCCCTTCAAAATTACAGGATCCCATCTCAACTCTCATGCTGTCGTACTCCTGTTTCTTTTGTGCTGCATCTCACAGCTGTTCTGTCACTTCTCATGTCTTCTGATGTGCTTCTGCATCCGTAGTTTCATCAAAAGCTTGATGGTCTCTTTCAGATTTCAGATGCTTTAATCAAACGTGTCCAGGTATCTCAGGAACAGTGGGTCAAAGGAGCCTTGGAGCCAAAAGTGTCTGCTGAGTTTGACCTGACGCTGGATAGTGAACCCTTACTGCAAGCCATTCATCAGCTGGATTTTATCCAGATGAAATGTAGGGGTGAGCTCTTCTGATTTTTATTTTTTTATTTTTTTTCATGCCAGTGTTGAAATTGTGCTGGGGAGAAGGGAGGTGCAGAGGAAGGAAAGAGAAATGGCTTGAGATTTCTGGGTGTTTTTAAAAAGTTTTCAAGCAAATTCAGGTAATTGGGTATTTCCTAAAATGGTGTACTCACCTGGTATGCAGTGACCTTGACAAGTGATGCCAGGGCTAGTTAAATATTTGAAGAGATAACAGAAAGTCCTACTGTGAAAAATTTATCTTTGATTAAGAAGAATCTAGATGCGTGAAACTTTACTCCATTTTACAGCATTCAGTAGGTTGAACACAGCTAATTGAAATGCTGGTCATCCCCATCTGATCAGGAACAGTTAAAGTAGTAAATAAATATTTCCCTCAGCACACGTATGCTGGAATAGGGAAATAAGCACTATAGGGAAATAAGCCCTATAAACCCATGTATGAAAACTGTGTCATGATTAAAATAAAACTGGGAGACAGAAGGAAGGTAGTCCAATTGCTAAACTGTTCCTCGATTCCAGGTGTCAGAGTCATCCTGAGGGACACAGAAAAAGGAAAAGGAGGTAAAGGAAATTATTTAAAAGCAGAAGCTGATAAACAGCAGATGCTAAGGGCAAAAAAATATATATTAACAATCACATGCTTGTAATGTACTTGGTTTATACAGAGTAGATTAGCGAGATACATAGACTATCTAGATGTTAAACCCATTGTGATCCCTGGGAATCATGCCATGATCTTCACTCTGTGGTGATTCAAGCCTTAGTTATGTGAGTAGATGATAGAGTAGAGGCTTTCAGAAGTTAATGAATAAGTTAAGGGCATTCATGTTGTGATGTTGGATGTGGTGTTTTGTATATCAGCTTTTGCTATTCTTGTTGTTTTTTTCTCAAAATAAGTATAAGGATTTGTGTTCAGTTTATCTGTTCTCTCTGGGCCTAATTCTGGACACGTGATACTCAAGATGGAGTAATTAGGGTGGATCACTTGGCCGGTGAATGTATGGAGAAACAATGGGTAAACAGTTAAAGGCCACAGTCTGCTCACTAGGAGTGGCCTGCACCTCCACAGAAACAGCCTGTGCTAAAGAAGTTTGTCAAAAACTGTCTGAGAGTTGCTCCTCTGAAAAGCAGACGAGAGACTGAGTAATACTGATAAAACTTCCCCAAATACTCTCTGCATTTATCTGTTTAAATCAGTTTATATCTAATGCTGGCCATATTTATTATTAAATATATTTAATACTAATCTTGCACCACTCTCCCTCCCAAACATATAAAGAATTTAGCTAAACTATCCACTTAAGTTGCTAATTAACCACAGGTCACTTGAGGTGAGAACAGCTTAGGAATTTGGCTTTTGGATGTTCATCTGTCAGTAAGCTGGAGGACTTAGAGATTTTAACTGAGCCAGATTCGCTGGAGCTCTATGAGAGCTGCTGCAGTCTGTTGACATCCTCATTTGATGTAGAATCACAGTTAAGCTCTCGCACAGAGCTAGACGTAGCCTGAGATGCAGAGGACAGGACTGGACAGCTTCTGCTCAAACCTGCAGAGAGGTTACAGACCAGGTTGAGTATTGCTCCCCAGTGGCACTTAAAGAGTTAGGCCTCAGAAAGGGCTTTTCCTGGGGCTATCTTGGCAATGACCAGGGAATACGCTTCATGTCCCACCAGTTTTGTCACAAGCTGGTGCACATGAAGGCCAAGCCTGGCTGCAGATACTGCAAACAGCAGTGGAAATGCCATTTATAGAATCATAGAAACAGAATCATTTGAGTTGGAAAAGACCTTTAAAAGTCATCTAGACCAACTCCCCTGCAAGGAGCAGGTACATATGCAGCTAGGTCAGGTTGCTTAGAGCCCCCTCCAGCCTGACCTTGAATGTCTTCAAGGAGAGGGCTCCCTCTACCTCTCTGGGCAACCTGTTCCAGTGCCTCATCATCCTTATCATAAAAAAAAGTCTTCCTTATGTACAATCTAAATCTCTCCTCTTTTATTTTAAAACCATTTCCCCTAGTCCTATCACAACAGACACTACTAAAGACTCTGTCCCCTTCTTCTTTATAATCTCCTCTTTAGATACTGAAAATCTGCTATGATGTTTCCCTAGAACTTTCTCTTCTCCAGGTTGAACAGCTGCAGCTTTCTCACCCTGTTCTAGTAGAAGAGGTGTTCTGTTTCTTGGATCGTTTTTGTGGCCTTGCTCTGAAGGCACTCCATCAGGTTCACATCTCTCCTGTATTGAGGACTCCACATCTGGATGCAGTACTCCAGATGAGGTCTCACCAGTGCAGAGTAGAGTGGCAAGATCTCCCTTACCCTACTGGACACACTTCTTTTGATGCAGCCCAGGAGATATGGTTGGCTTTCTGGGCTACGAGGGCACATTGCTGGATCATGTCCAGTTTGCCATCCACCAGTACTTTCACATCCTTTTTGGCAGGGCTGTGTTCTATCCTTCTGTTCCCCAGCTTGTACTGGTAGTGGTGGTTGCCATCACCCAAGGCCTTACGCTTGGATTTGTTGAACCATCTAAGCCCACTGCTTGAGCCTCTCTAGGTCCCTCTGGATGACACACCACAAAGCTTGGTGTCATCTCTCACATCTTTGTGCCATTTTTCCTTTACCATTGCTGCAGAGGCATAAGGGACTGTGTTATTTCCTTTTGCACCTCCATGTCCCTGAGCAGGACAAGCCACTGACTAGTCCAGAGCCAACATCCATAGGTACCAAGGACAATTTAGTACATATGGATGTATTTATATTTTCCAGCTTATGACTAGAAATCTATTTGAATTACTCAGTCTGATGTGTTGGCATTTTTGTCTCTGAAATTTACATCCATTGGCATCCTTTTGGACATATGTACCTCTATGGACATCAACCAATGTTGTGTTATCTTCTTATGCATTAGTGGTCTTGCATCTCAAAATACAGGTAATACAAAGGAAGCATTGGAGTAGAGGGGGATTCTCCACTAGGAGAATCACTTTGCAGTGAGAAGAGCTGGTGTTGCAGGGTGCTGCAGCAAAATCACTGGGACTTCTGAGCCTCCAGCTTCACACACAAAAAGATCTGTCTCTTCACCTCTGCTCCTCCTTCTCCAATCTTACCTACTCCAATCTTAGCACACCCACGTGTCATCACTCTTTGCCAAACACTTGGTGGTGAGTGGGGAGTGTTATAAACACGCTGTACAGATTGATCTGTCAAGAGTAGATGCACTACAGACATCAGAGAACATCTGTAAAGGGATTTTGGGGAGAGCCAAATAGAACAAGGTCAGTGCAGCTTTCCCAGCTGCAGGATGTTTCATGACAAATGCTTTGTGAACCAAGGTCAGTAATAGTGTTATTGATGCTTAGTGCATGACTGAATTTCTAAAATTTTTTTCAATCTCTGGCCTCATTCAACCTCAGTGCACTTGCATGGATCATTTAGAATGAAAGCTTGCTTGTAAGTAAACATTGATTCACTGTGTTGAACAAAGAAGAATGAAAATGAGAACAAATCACATTAGATTTGCTCTGATGACTTGTTGATGTACCTTACTGGTGGACGCTGTAAGCCCACATCTAAAGCCAATCTCAGCAAATAAAGATCAGGGAGTGTTTTGTTTTTTTCTTTTTACAAAAAACAAAAGCAATTCAGTACCAGATTAGATGTGCAGGGGCCAGAAATGTGATAGATGCAGAAGTGATGCTCAAGCAATCAGATTGACCAAAATATCTCACTGAGTGCTTTGGTAAGAGTACCACAGTCCCCAGGCTGGCTGACCTGCTGAGACACACGAATGGCTCTACTATTTGCTGGTTTGCTGATCTTTCTGAGATCTTCTTCCTCTGTCTGAGTGTTTTTCTCTTTCTTGCTTTTTCTCAGTGCCTTGGCACGTAATTCCTCTTTCTTCAATGAGCGACACATTGTGTACCAGGCATTTTCTCAGTTCAAGCTATAAACAAAGGCAAATAATATGTGTTCCTCATTTTCTTTGTTCAAATAGCTGGAATGGCCATGCAATCTTGATTTGTTGCAAAAGGGAGACTAGGTATAACATAGGAAAGAACATTACTACCCTTTGCTTATCTGCGCCACCTCCGAGCAGTCAGTTGCATACTCATTGTCAGGAACGGCTCCTTCGCTCTTCCACAAAACAGTCCCTGACAACTCCTCAGAGACATCTTCAGCTTCTGCTTCTCCAGCCACTAGTTGCACAGCTCTGATAATAAAACAGTAATGCTTCATACTAGGTTTTATCTCTGGCTCTGCTTATTCTGCATCACAAACAGGTCTTTGCCTCTGGTCTTTCCTTCTCTCTTGATGACACTGTTTTTAGTGCTCTTGCTACAACTCAGGGTATTCTAAGGGTCTCACTCTCCCACTGCATTCGTGTTCTTAAAACTCAATCTGGGAAGGCAGAGGGTATCATTGCACTACTTGCTTTGTCAAGATGACAAATAATAAAGTCTTAGAACAGCCCTATTCTATTATGAAGCGAGATCAACTTCACAAAGCAATGTGTTTTGGGTTGACACAAGGCACATTTTTTAGCTAAGCATGACCTCTGTGAAGCACTTTCAAAATAGCAGGATGTTATTCAAGCTCATTAATAGGTCTTGCTGTGCCAAAGTAGTATCATTTCTCCCTTTATATTTTTAATCTTTTCCTTCAAAAACTCTCTAGGGGACTTTTAAGTTGAGCAATAAATGGGACAGTGCTGTTATTTAACATCTGAGACAACTTCTTTTCTGGTAGTTAACCTATATTTGTCTTGTCTTTGTGCCATCCCATGGCTTTTTACTCTGAAGTGTATCCCAGCGTCCCAGTTATTCAACACCTTCCACATTTTCTATGACTTTCACAAGTGTTCACCCTCTTTCCTCCCTGAGGAAGTCTGAGGTCAGGGTAAACCTCTGCCCATCTGTGTCCGGCTGCAGCAGGAGGGAGACAAGAGGGCAAGCATGGCAAGTCTAATCCAGCAAAGCTGAACACCTGCTCTGTGGGATTTTTTTACCCATGGACCTCTGAGTGGCTGTACAGCTCAGAAATTGTGGTGGTTTTGTAATTTACAAGCTTCAAGAATGAGTTTTTCATTTAGTTCTGCCAGAGGAAGATTTGGAAGTTGGAGGGACCCAGTCAATGTCTCTTGAGAGTTAGTTAGCCATCTAGCTAACCATTTAAATGGTTAGTTAATCAGCCTTTATCTCTGAATTCGTTGCCCTCCATTTTTTGGCTCCCACAATGCCACATTTATGTTACCTCATAGTGCCTTCCAGAGAAAAATCTGAACTTTTCATGTGTAAAAAACAAGTAGATGTTTATTTATTATACTCTTTGAATCATTCTTGAAGACCAAGAAAAAGCAACAAGATGGGGGTCTTTTTTGCCTTTTTTTTTTTCCTTCTCTTTCTGCAGAAAATTCTTCAAGAGCTGGTTTATAGAGCTCCTTTGTAACACACGACGCTCATTCTGTTGGGCTACCAAACTCCTAGGTTCTCTGCAGTGATGGGTAATGCCAGAGGGTAACTTCTGTATTATTTATCACTAGTGGAATGTTGATTTTTTGCCCCAGTTCCAATGTGGGGGTGAAGCGTTAGACCCTTGACGCAATAAGGGGCATTTTCCCTATTTTTCCACAATGTTTGTTACATGAAGAGCGAGCAAACCTTTTTTTTACACTCAGGGGTTAAATGGGATGAAAGGAACTGCTCAAGGGCTTAGCTCTCATGCAGGCAGAGGAGGAAAATAAACTAGAGGCTCCAAGTGGAGTATATAAAAGAAGAGCAAATTGACATAGTTAAGAGCTCAGTCAATGAATGCTCAGAGCACTCAGCTTCGTGTGAGACGTCATGCAGCTCTGAAGAAATGATCTTAGCACTGAAATTCAGCCTTGGGCAGAAGAACAGACAGGGTTTGTATGTCACGTTTATCCCACTTATCCTGTGTGATTTCAATCGTGCACAAGACATGTGCCAAATCTCTCTAAGAGATGGAAATTTCTCATTATAATTTCCAGCAAGGCATGAACAGGGAGGCTTTAGGTGTGCATAGTGGGGAAAGTGTGGTGGAGGCCTCATTCCTCACAGGGGCACGGCTGAATGTTATATTCTGTTTACTTTTATTTTGAAATGCTTCTCCACAGTCCCTTGGTGCTTTTCCTATGCCAGTCAGTAAAAAAACATCTCTGTAGGTAACACTGCAGCTGTAATTTCTGAAAGGACAGAGCTACAAGCAGTCTCCTGTGATACAGATGTTCCTTTTGCCAGCTGAACTTAGAGAGTTAGATAAACATTGCAACTGGAATTATTTCCAAATATGTTTGAATTTACATATTTCAACCAAATGGTTTGTCTAGCTAAATAATGACATTTTGTTATTTATTTTTTACTGGGTTTTGTTTCAAGGGCTCTCTTCAAGGGTCGGACTAGATCAAAGATCCCTTCCAACCCAAATCATTCTATAATAACATTGACTCCAATGAAGGGAAAGAAATGAGTGATTGTGGTCCTCCTCCCGGCACAGACCGAGGATCTAGGACAGAGCTACACTAATCTGTACCCAGTTCCTGTTACAGTGCCACCCGTCCCACTACTGCAACTGGAGAAGTGTTGCACCAGAAACAACAGTGTGACATTGGCCTGGAGGATGCCACCTTTGAGCCACAACCCAGTGGAGGGTTATATCCTGGAACTTGACGATGGAGATGGTGGCCAATTTCGAGTGAGAATTTAATTCAGCATTTATTTGTATTTCTTTGTATATAAGTTTCCTCAGGAAATAGATTCATGTCTGAGAGGAGGGTGAGAGGAGCCAGGGAAGGTACAATTTATCAAAGCATCCCTGCTTCTGTCAAATAGATGTAGAAAGCCTTGGTTGTGGTTTCTGCTCATTAGAAGTCCCGGCTGTGATAGGAAGCTTGGTTGAAATTTTTCCTGGGTACTGGCAAAGAGGCCTTGTGGATTTGAAAGAGAATTTCAAGTCACTGCCATATCTACTGCATGTCCCTCCTGGAGAACGCCCCTACAGAAAATCCCATACCAGCCTGTAAGATCTGAAAGTGGCTCATGCCACATATCAAAGATTTTTTTGTAGTCCTTCCTCTTGTCTGTCCACAGTGGCCTCTTCTGACAGATGAGATTCTTGGTCTGGAAGTGCAACTCAGTTTTTCCTATTTTTCTGAGTTAAATTGGCTTCCTGTGTAAAAAAATATAGGTTTGCTAAATATTTTTTCTGGAAGGGAGACAAGGCTGGGGGAAGTGTTTCTCAGGTATGCTGCAGAGGCATTGGTAAGTATGGGAGGACACCCCAAGTGCCATTCTCCCAGAACTCTGGTGTGATTCCATGACTGCTTGCTTATGCCTGAGGGTACTGAATACTTCCAGTCTCCCATCCTCTCCCTCTACATCCCAAAAAACAAACCACAGAAATAATTCAAACAGCTTTCTGCCAGCCATGTCCTGCTGGAAGCAGTGGTCTGCAGTGCTGTGGCTTGCTGCTGCTGTTCATGCTTCTGTTACTTCAAGACCATGCTAAACCAATGCCATCCCTAGAGGCTAGTGCCTTGAAATCATTACTGCAGAGCACATCTGCTCTCTTCACAAATGGGAAATCATGCCAAACCATGGGATGTGATTTGTCCAGGAGCTGTAAACTGGCTTCCCACTTGAACCCTGAAGGTTACTAAAGGTGAAAGTGACCTGGAACTGGCCTGCCTGACCTCCCTCAGTTGCCTTCCTGTGCCAGACTGCTATATCCACAGCCAGCAGAGACACCTCATTTGGATGCTCCTCATTAGAAAAAACAGCAGTGTTGGTACTGCATTTTGAGTAGTATGCAGTGTTTCTGGAATTTCTTGATTCCTTGGTCCAAGAACCATTTGGCATATATTTGAAGAGGCTGGTCTCTTCCACTGGAGATGTGAAAAGGTTCCTTTGTTCAAGAGCTGCTGACACAGTCAGTAGGTAAGAGTGGCATAATGAATGAGGTGTTAGGGGTGATGTGTGGCACATTCCAGCTTCACAGATAAAACATTTCTAGTATTATTGACATCTAAATAAATACTTGTGAAATAATTTCAGCCTGCTGCCTAAACACAATTGTTTCCTTTTCTCTCATATTCTATTACTTTGTTTGATTTTCCAATAAACGTGAGGTTTCTAGGCTACTTACAGTCATCACAAACTATCATCTGGCTGATCCTGTTCATTATTTTGCCTAGCATTTCCTCCTCCTGCAATATTTCACTTTACACCAATGCTTGCTCTTTAACAAATCCTTGCAGACTCTTACTGCATCTCTGCTGTCTAATTGCTGTTTCATCAGGTGATGCATGTGGTCCTAACCTTTAGGAGGCTGGCTTCTTCTGGCCCTGTCTTAGCGGGTTTCAGAATCATGTATTAATGCAGGCATGAGGAAGCCTTTCCAACAGAATGAAACTGTACTTACTTTTTTTTTAATTCCTCCTTTCCCTGTTTTTATGGTCCTATATAAATATTAAGAAGGGCTATGGTGGTTAAGGTTCTGGGACTACTCTCCAAAACAGTTTTGGAGTAAATGTTTTGGAGTAAAAGTTATGGGCAAATAGGATTAAAAATATATATATATATCTTTATATTCCCTTTAGGTGCTGTACCTTCTCAGCTTTACCTTCACCTTAGTGTCTCCACTGCTGACCTTACCTCTTGTCTTCACTTCTGTAGCTGTTCATGTTATAACAGCATGCACTCTGCATTCTCTGAAGCCATCATAAGCTATTTACTAATGATTCATGTTTACAAATCTTAATGTGATTATGAGGCAGAAAGGAACAGTTGTGTTTTTTGTTTTGTTTTGTTTTGTTTTTGTGTGTGTGTGTTTAGGAAGTATACGTTGGCAAGGAGACTCTCTGCACTATCGATGGCCTTCATTTCAACAGCACCTATAATGCAAGAGTCAAAGCTTTTAACTCATCTGGAGTTGGTCCATACAGCAAGACAGTTATTTTACAGACATCAGATGGTGAGTTTGATGTTGAATCCAACCTGCATGCGAATGACTGATGCTGTCAAGTGTCAGTGCCAATACCACAAACAGCTGTGGGTGTATTCTGATGTATTCTGGTGGCTTCTGTGGTGCACTTGGGCTGCACTGAGCCTGCCATTTCTGGGGGAATAACCTAGACCTAAATCCAGTAATGATAATAGTCAAGTAGCCCGTTTCTTTAAACCTTAGGGAATTTTCCATTGTAGGTAACACTTCAGGTTTCAAATAAATGCAATTTTACTTTTGGGGTCTAATTAAGTTTTTTATTTGTTTTAGCATATGGAGGCCATTAGGCACTGGATATTTATATGCCACTCCGCCTCCACTCCTCCATGAATTTTTGGATTTTTTTCCTCACTTACTGCTTCAATTTCACAGCAAGGTTTGATAAGACAGAGATGGGAATTCATGCTTGTTCCTCTGTAATTATAGTTGACATCCATGCGGGCATTACAGAAGTTCATCTTCAGTAATGATACCGTAATGAATTGGGAAGTACGTGCTGTCCTTACATGCACTTTTATGCTGTTGCCAAAATAGGCCAGTATAAAACTTTTATACTTTAAGTGCTTTTTCTGGTTGGATTTCTTTTTCCCCCCTTTGATAAACTGATGAAATTTGTCCTAACCACTGTGGATACATCGGTCCTCCTTTTCCATTAGAGGCAATCCTGAACAATTCACATCTGCAAATGGCTTTGTTTCTTCAATGACTTTCTTCTTACTATGTGAGAACAGAAAGTCACTCTCCTTAAAAACCTACACTCTGATATGCAGGCACAGATGACACAAGACACATGAGTAATTTACACTTCACAGCACCTTCAAGATGAATGGACTGAAAGGCAACTTTCAGTTATTACTGGGCTATGCAGATTGCATGAAGCATTCTTTCCTTTCTCTCTCATTCACCAAAGGGCAGTCTGAGCTGGGTCACAGTGCAGAGCAATCTTGTGTAACTGCCTTTTTTAACAAGGAAGAACTCCTTGTTATTCGAGAGTGCCATGGGATCTTTAGGAAGTCTCAGTCTCATTGTCCTAGTGGAAATAAAGTGGCTGATGGGTAGTGGCAGCCCACTCTGCTGTAATCTTGCCTCTCCTTTTCCCTCACACAGTGGCATGGTTCACTTTCGACCCCTCCTCAGCTCACAGGGACATTGTGCTGTCGAACGACAACCAGACCGCCACCTGCAGCAGTTACGATGACCGCGTTGTCCTTGGCACGGCCGCCTTCTCCAAGGGCGTGCATTACTGGGAACTGCACGTGGATCGGTATGACAACCATCCTGATCCAGCCTTTGGCATTGCCAGGATTAATGTTGTCAAGGACATGATGCTAGGCAAGGATGACAAGGCGTGGGCTATGTACGTTGACAACAACCGCAGCTGGTTCATGCACTGCAATTCTCACACCAACCGGTAAGCACTGTCTGCATGTTTCTCTCCTTACTGATTGCTTTTGTTGCTTGTCATCAGAAGAAGGGATCTCAGTAAGCTGTAGTCCATCTCCTTGCCAAATAGAGTTATTTTATTCCTAACAGAAGTCTGCATCACTTGTTCTTACAAATCACCAGTGATGGCAATGGCATCTTCTCCCCTAGCAATCTGTATCTGTGTACATTATCCTCTCTTAGCAGGTTTTTCCTGAGATCTGAACTGAATCTCCCCTGCTTTGTTTAAGCCCACAGTTGCATGTCTCACCCTCAGTGTCGATAGATAGGAGTGCCATGCAGTCATAGATGCAGGATTTATTTCACTGCTGGAAGAACGCAGGGGGAAATGTGATCCATTCTGTTCTTTAGGAAGACCTTTGGCTACAGGGTCATTAGGCAAACTCACTGGTGATTGCTTGGCCAAAATGTAGGTGTTTGTGAGTCCTGAAAGCTGACTAAGTGCTGTGCTGTAGGCCACGACTGAGTGTGATGTGGACAATAGGGCTGTGAGGGCAAATTGTCTGCCTCCCTCGACTGAGTCATTGTGTTCAAAACCTTTGGAAGATGTCTCAACCATGACAACCATGACAACCATGACAACAAAGGAGGATGTGGGGATACCCCCAAACCATAGTTACCAAACCCCATTTTCTCTCCTGACTAAAAGAGAGGATCTGCATGCTCCATACAACAGAATGGTGGGGATAGATCTAGCTGAAGGTGGTTCCAGGGCTGAATCCCCCAGGGACATTGCACATTAGCATGGATTTAGTGTTGTGCTGACATGGAGGCATGGCTCTTAGAACTTGCAGTAGCTAACTCTGTGAAGTGCTGATTGTTTTCCTTGATGGGATGCTGCCCCATGTAGAGGAGATACAATCAGCTTCACATGAGGGCCCCTGGGGTACCACCAGTGCAAGAATGCACTGCTCACTCTGTGCCCAGAGGGAGGGTCAGGCCACAGTTGAGTCAGCTGTGTATTACAGGGACGGAAGCCCTTGAGAAGATCTCAGCTAAAGGCTGAGATTCAGGATCCTAAATCCTGTGTGTATTTTGGAACAGTGTCTTTGTGTACCTACTTTACCACGATGGGAGATGGATGTACAAAGTGACTGACCGGGGATATACAGCAGGTCTTTGGCAGACTGGGAATCAGTTTTGGTTTAGTTTTCCAATGAATGTCTCTGCAAGTTTTCCATACTCATGAGCTCAGACATTGTTTCTGTTATATCACATAATTAAAAGGGAAGTCTGCAGTGTTTTTTAAAATGCTCAAATGCTTGTGTTATCTTCTTAGAGAGAGAAGTTCATGCCAGTATTCATGGCATCCTAAAGCTGCTTGTAATGTCTCCTGTTGAATAGTCACTCATACTCGAAAACATACTTGTATTTTAAGTGAGTAAGAGAGTAATTTCTGTTTGAAGTAATTGGAAGAACCTTGTAGCTGGACCCAAAGCTATCTGAAGTAAAGGTGAATATTTTCATTGGCCCCAAAGGCCTTAGATAATGTCCTAAGTAAATATGGAAACCATGTCCTGAGCAAACGTAGAGTAAAATAACATCAGAATAACGAATGTGTCCAAAGCTTCTCTGTTCCTTTAATATCTTGATTTGATTTGATTTAGGGTGGAAGTAATGTTAAGCTGTGTTAATTTTAATGCTCTATGAAACAGCTTATGCTTTCTGGAAAAAAGCTGGCAAACACTGTGTGTGCTGCTGTCCCAGAAACCTATTTTTTTTATTTGGTCACAGATGTGCTCCTTCCCACAAGCAACACATGAGCCAAGCAAAATCTTTCCTTCTGAGAAGCACAAACAGTGGAAATACTTTGAATTTCCAATCTTAAATCTCTCCTGCTTAAACAGGAGAGCAGAGTACTTTCTGTTGACAACAGCTTCCCTGTTTTTACTGGGGAAAGCCCAAAGATTTTGCAGGCATATCCAAGGAATGGGCAGACCAATGAAATATTCTTTCAAGTGAAATACACTGACAAAGGGCATGTAGTCTCATGGAATCACATGCGCTTCAATGAAATTAGGTCTAAGCATTATATTTTTAACTGTGGCAGTCAAGTAGGTCAGTTTTTTAACTCGTTAGCTGTGGTAGTCTTGTGAAAACAGTTGTTGCTGCCTCGCCATTTTCCCACTGGAGACAAGGGCGTGAGAACACACTGTCACAGTTCAAAGAAAATTTCTCGCCAACTTCTAACCTCTCAGATGCTCCTGTATTGGAGACTATATCTTAGTAATCATATCATCCATTCAAATCTGCTCAAAGTTAAATTAGAGTGATAAATTAATGAATGGCTTCAGGGATAAACTGAGGTGGAGCTTGAAAGACCTAGGCATTGGGCCTGCCAGGTTTAGAGCACTTTCCTGTTCTTTTCACTCACAATATGCACCATGAGACCTGTCTACATCCTTAAAAACTGACAGGCTGGGCCTGTCTTCAGCAATGCTAGAAAAAAAGGCATGAACAAATGAATCTAATGCTATCAAACCCAGAGAGACCTTTGAAAATAGGTTGAGCAAACACCAGTTTAGAAGACAGCTCAGGGACGTAGCCCTATGAGGCACCTTGAAGTCTTGTTGTTCCTGGAAGTAACCAGCTCACACCAGAGACCTGTGCCCATTGCTCAGAGGCACTCATGGCAGTACTTGTTCCTCATAATGTTCTCAAAAGCAGGAGTACCCTGTGCTGTAGGCAATAGTCCAGCCACTGCATTGCTGCATGAAGAAAGTGATTGAAATCACACTGGAATGTTTTATATTTTATGCTGGAAGACATGGAAAGTCAAAATCGTGGAGGTCTCAAGGCCAAGTTCTCATCAAACGAAAATGTTACAATTGACTGAAAAAGACTGTTCTTGACAGTAGATGCAGCAAAGTTCCTGCAAAGCTCACTATATAAATGCTGCTAGTGCAGAGTTAAACTAATTCTTCAGCATATTAAACAGTGCTTATATATTAAGATTGATTTTTTCAGTGATAGTGAAACTTACTGCTCTTCTTAATTCCCCAAACCATTTCAGTCCAGCTTTGCAAACTGCCCAAAATGCTGCTGAAACCATCCTGGGAAGGTGAGACTCCACTGCAAGAGTCAGTTGCACTTTTCAGGGCAGCCAAATTGGTGTATCCATACTCAGACCTTTCAGCCTTCCACACAGTGTCAGAGTCAGCACTGAGCCTTGTGCACAGAGATGAATGTTTGTCAGACTGTGTGAAAAGCTGTGTGAGAACTGGGATTTACTTGGAATAATGAAAGAGTGGCGCGTGTCTTCAAAAATGGATCGTCATTGAACAAGCACTGTAGCAGGTGGCTGTGCTTTCCCTTTACACAGCCTGCAGGCTGTCAGGAGCCTATAGCACAATGACCATTATCAGTTTAAAAAGGCATTGCAGAAAGGACTCAGCTCTTGGAGGTGCTGACACAGGCTGGGCCGTGTGCCCTGCCAGCAGCAGCTCCTCTCCAGCACAGCATTCCCTGTGGACTGCAGAGAAGTCACTCAATGTCACTGTGTACCACACGGCTAATTAGCCCACTAGAAGCAAATTAGTTTATTATATTGGAAAGAGCATCATCATCTCAAAAAGGCAAAGCTGTTTCCCCAAGAGAATCAATGCCATTTAGAAAGATGTCGTAAAATCTGGTTTAAAACACTGCTTGATATAAAACGTGGTGCACTACAATCAGAGCTGTTCCCCACTGGAGAAAAAAATAATGTAACCCACACGTAGGTAGTTCTGAATTGTGGTGCTGCCACCTCCCACAGAACCATTATGAATTTTATGATTGAGTGCATTCAATACAAACATCCTATATACTAAGATCCTGAGGATGGGCAAACGTCCTAACTTTTGTTGGAAAATAGTATGTTTACAGTTGTGGAGAGGAGCACAAAAACAGGCGTATTAATGCTTAGAGTACCAGGAATAAATTTAAGGGAGCTCAGAACTGCATAGTTATACGTCTTACGTATCTGAAAACTTAACTGGTGATTCTCAACTGTTTTGTTATTGTGTGAAGAGCTTTAAATGGAGATGTCAGCACACTATTGCCGTCACTATCATGGATAAAGCTCCTGTTATCTTTAAAGGAAATATCATGTGCCACATTTAGTTTGAAGGAAACCCGTTTATGACACCTAGTGGACACGATGAAAATGTCTTACCCTGCACCATGTTTCTAGTTGTATTTGAATTTTTTTTATATATATGCCAACTCTTACAATAAATCTTTTGTTAAAACTGCATTTATCTTGTGAATTTCATGTGCCCAGGGCAGCTTGTGATAGAAAAGACAGTCACTTCCTTTCTTGATACAAATGATTTGAAATCTGATTTAGCCTGAACAAATTGTGTCAGGCTGTAAATCCATCGCATAGCCCCTGTGACATTAGTGAAGCAGTGGTGCCTGTGGCCAATCTGCATATGTAGCAGATTTCTTGCTCAACGCTCTTTAAAGCACTATTGGATTTGACTAACCCCCGAATCAAAGTGCATTAGTGTCAAATCGTTCATGCATGTAATGGCTGGGTCTGCCCTGGCAAGATCTGACACCATGGTAGCTCTCAGCAGCTGCTCCTGACACAGCCAATTAGCACCAGTGTTAATAGCTGTGCCCCAGCTCTTGAAGGAGCTTGGTCATGGACCTGTGCTTGTCCCTAATCTGCCCTACCTTCCCTTCCTCCCCAAAACCAGTGCCTATGGACCTATGTGGGCCCCCCAGACCCTGGAAAATCAGGTCCCCTTAGAGACTGCCAAGATAAGCTTCTAGCTGCCAGCAGGTAGAGTGATTCAAATGAGTGCCAAGGACACAAGCGTTCTGCTTTTACATTTTCTGCTGTGCAACAGTATTCTACAGCAGGGGCACTCTCAGGAGCTCTGCCTCCAGAAGTCCTGCCTTGCACACTGAGCAATGGACTGATCTACTCACTTGCCCATTTCTTGTCAGCCTAGGGGATTTGGGCGCCATTATCATCTCTTAGCTTACAGCTGGAGGAGAGATGGACCTCATTTCTCTTTATGACACCCCTTTTAAGCTCTGATGAACATCTCTTTTGGGTAAAGGTGTGGCATGGTCACAGTCAAAGTGCAGTGGGGATAAGCACTGTGCTGTGCTGCTCCATTCTTCCCTTGTTTTTTGAGACTGCATGTCTTAGAGGGAACAGCAGTGGTACAGCACTCTGTCTACATTAAACCTCTTTGTGTGCATTTGTACTTCAGGACAGAAGGAGGAGTTTCCAAAGGTGCCACTGTTGGTGTCCTCCTGGATCTAAATAAGCACAGCCTGACTTTCTACATAAATGGGCAGCAACAAGGGCCTCCAGCTTTTGAAAACATAGAGGGTGTCTTCATGCCTGCACTAAGCCTCAACCGAAACGTTCAGGTAAGTCTTCTATAGTTCAGTGCAACCTAATCTGTTCAGGTAAAGGGGGCTATGTGCCCCTGGCCATTTCTGCTGTGACTGATAGCATCATAGGCAGGTAGTCAGTGTGGATATTGGCTCTTTCCTTGTCAGACATCCAGGCTACTAATGCTTTCTTGAAAACTGATTTCAGCCTTCTGTCTTGCCTCACAGATGCAAAGGGTAGTGTTATAAAAACAAGTCAACATGCCTGCATGCCTTCATCATTCTGCTGCAATGCTCCACTTAGAAAGCAGCAGTGCTAAGGCTTCCTCTGCCAGTTTGACAAAAACAACACAAGGATGTGAATTCTTCTTAGATCTTACATTGAGAGATAATTAGCATTGGCAACAGACAGAAATCCAGCAGCATAGCAGTTAGTTGAGCAAAGTCAGCATAGGTCAGGGGGTTAGTCCAGCAGAGAAGGCTCAGTCAGCACATCACTGGTGAAGTTCAGAGACTGCTCTGTTCTCAAGAGGATCTCCTCTTGGAGAAACACTTCAAATATTATGCTTTTTTAACTTCAAAACCACGTCATATGGCTGAAACAGGAGGTAATGCAACAAGAGGTGTAGCATTGAGGGATATGGTTAGTGGGTATGGAGGGGGTGGGCTGACAGTTGGAGTGGATGATCTTAATGGTCTTTTCCAACATTTATTGTTCTATGGAGAGCCAGAGCCTTTACCTGTGGAAAGAGCCAGAAGCCTGAAGACGGTGGCATCTAAATCTTTCAGGAAAGTTTCTAGTTTTACTGTATTTGATGCACAAAAGTAGAAGACACAGGCACTTCCCTGCTATTTTCAATAATGGTTTTCAATTGCAGCTTGCCTTTAATACCTACATCTTGTAAGCAGCTGGCAAAAGTTCTTTCTACGACCAAAATAAAGCAAGGCATGGCCAACAAGGTGTGAGAGGGAAGCTATGAATTTGACTTGCTGTTGAATGGTGCTCTGAAATGTCTGTGTGGGAACTCTGAACTTGCAGAAATATTGTCATGTTGTAGAAGGAACTGTGCTCTGCCCTGCCAGAACAAGGAAGAAAGGATTTTTTTTTATATATTCAGTACATTGTTTCAACAGTGTCATTGTTTTCCTGAACTACTCTAGAGTCCCTCACACAAAAATTCTGACCACCTTGGGCTTGGGAGTACTGTTGGAATTCTAGAAATAGTGGCTTACTTTAGGAAGAACTGTTGGCACTTGGCTTCTAGGCCCCAAGGTGCTCAGCACAGACGGGTTCCTGGTAATTTTAGGGGCTCAGTATCATCCCATAAATATAGTTAACTACTTAATCTTGGATCAGAAGCTCCACAGCCCCACTCTTGTCATTTGCTTATTCTGGGCCTTCACAAATGCTTTCTGCTAGAGATGTTCCAGTTTTGATAGTTGGTGTTATTTCTTTTTTATGTAGGTGACACTGCACACAGGACTGGAGGTTCCCCAATGTGTAAAGCAGCCAAAGTTGCCCAGCAACTAATGACACTCCTGCCTGACCCTGTGCTGGATTCTGTAAGCTGTCTCAGTGTGATTTGGCACATTTCAGTAAGTCAGTAAAAAAGCACTCTCTTCCCTAATGTGGAATGTTCTACACCATTGCTCACTGAGCACTCTGCTGGTTACAACTAGCCCACTCCATCTTTAGTTTAACAAGCCATAGCAAGCATACCCACAGAACTGGCACTGGATTACAGATGGGTACCTGAACATATCTGCACTGCACTCATGTGCTCACACACACATACACATGTATGTATTTATAAGGTGAGAAGTTAAATGAGTTTATTTTCTCTCTTGTGGCTGGGATTTGTGCTCAAAAGATATTGTGCATGCTGGAAAACACAGGCAAGACCAGGACTGGGGAACAATGGCTGCTGGAACAATTTACCAGTTGGTGAACGAGATTCCTTTGCCACCTGCAGTCCTTAATTGAAGACAGCATGTGTTCTGGCAGCTGAAGTGGAAGCTGTGTGCTCAGTTAAAGAATTCACAGGCAAGATTCTGTTATCTGTTACATCCAGGGGCTCAAATAACACTTAACTATTCCTTCTGGCTCCAAATCGCCATAAGCTCTGCACTACATTCCCCTCCAGTTCAGTGGCAGAACTTGCACTTATCTTCAACAAGAACAAGAACAGTTTCCAGATGCTGTTGTGTAATAGTTGTGCTTATTTGAGCTTACAGCATGGTATGTGCAGAATTCAGATATGAAAAGTGGAGAGGAAAATATTTCTGATACATTTTCATGTATCTTACTTAACTGTGACTGTGTGGACTACTCATAGAGAAAATCCATTGATGATTATCAGCACATCACTTGAAAAATGAAGCAAGAGGAATCTTTTTTAGTTTAACTAATAAGAGTTTTATTTAAATATGGTACGTGCAAAGTATCCCACATAGAGAAATACTGCTTTCCAGCCTTTATCCCAGTAAGTCCTACACGGCTGTAGTTCCAATGTAGCTTTGAGATCAGAAGCCTTAATTTTCTATTAGATTATGATCATGTAACTAATGTCTTGGTCTCCATGAAGCATTTAAACAGGAGAGATTTATGAGATTAATGCTAAATCAATTTTTAAGAATTTTTCTGGAATGGGACATAAATCCTTTCAAGACTTGGATGTATCTTGCATCTCCCATGAAAGCAAGAGGCCGTGTCAGGTCCTGTCCATGACAACATGAATCTGACCACCACGGAAGTTCCCAGCACAGAACAGAGCTCTCACCTGTACTCTGGTGTCCAAAAACACATTGATTTATGTGTGTTTCTTTTCTTCTGAAACAAGTTAACATATGCAACTGTGTGTATAGAGGTGATGCATAAGAACAAGATGCAGCAGACTGTGTGTGTCCATGACATTCTGGGCTTTGTTATTTCAATCCTACGTAAGCGTGGTGATATCCAACATGAAAAGCACCAACTCTTACATCCTAGTGATGTACTAAACCCTCTGTTTAATTCTTCTTGTACAGATTTTCCTACCCAAGCATACATATACGCACATGCATATTGTTCTCAGCCAAGCAGGTATGAAGCCTGAAAAAGTGTGCTCTAATACCAATGCAGCTTACTGCCTCACATTATGCTATGGCCACAGGATCGTCAGCTCAGGCCTCTCTCAGAGCAGCCAGCTGCAGGTGTGCATTCAGTCTCAGACACATGGCTCAGGTGGCACAGAGGGCTGCACTGAGACACAGCAGCCAGCACCTCACTGGCAGCATCCTCTTTGCAGCCACTGCAGAGAGGGACAGGCAACCCATCCTGCAGTAGTTACAGGCAATTTCACAGGTGAATCACAGCCTGTCACCAGTGCCCATACCTGGCTGATATCTCATGGCCACCTCTCCTGCAGAACAGCTGTGCACCTCTAGTAATGTCAAGACTGAAATAGGAAACAAAACCAACAGCAGGAAAATATAACCTTAGCTGTTAAGTGGGAAAGCAACTGTACAACTATACTTTCTTCACTCTGACGTGGATTGTATTAGTAAAGTTTTAGACATAACTGTGCTGCACTCATCTTCATTTCTTAGAAAATAGCGAAAACCAACTGAGTTTTAATTTTCAGTTTCATTTAATGCCATGTGAACTCATGCACGATTTTCTAATTTAGTGGGTCTGCTTTAACCTACCTCAGCTCAAATGCTCCTGGACCCCAGACTTCTTCCTGAGTGTGCTCATTGCAAACCTGTCTTCAGTGAACACAAGAGCTGTAATCACAGCATTGGCTTCAAGTATTGCCAGTCAGAGCAGTGTGTGGGAATACTGTACGTAGGCTTCACATAGATTTTTATATTGGGAAACATCCTGTGATAATTTTAATAGACACTCCCCTTTCACTTTTCTTATTAAAAGCAACCAGGTGTTGTTTGCTTTGGGACTGAACCTCTGTCTTCACTACCAAATTCTGTGAAAGAAATTCAAATGAATTTAGGTCTTTCCACTCTTCACCCACCACCAGGCATTTAAAATTAATTCAGAATGGGTTTTAGAAGTGTTTGCAGTACTTGGTTTTGGTTATCATAGATGCTTTGGTATCGGTTCCTAGTGTTGTACCTTGGGGAGAATGCAGCGAGTGATACAGGTTACTGTGTTTTAATGCAAACAAGGACAGTAGGTGGGGACATACTTCAGATCTGTAGAGAAGCATAGAGAAGCTCATTTATTATTCTAACACCTGTACAGATACGTGTGAGGTACAGAATAAGTAACTGCCATTATAGTCTCTTTGTAACCTAGTGGAGATGCAAATAAAATAAAAGGAATACAGTTAAAAGTAGGTATCCTGCATTAGCAACACCAGGTCTGAATCTAAACAAAATTGACTATATGTTGGTTGTGTACACATTCAAGGACTTGGATTTGGCATGATCCATAGCAATAAGCCAAGTAACCCCATAGAGCACAGTCTCATGACTTCAGCTGGATCAGTTTTAGTAGTAGTGTAACAGAGTAAATGCTTAAGTAGTTAGAATTCTGCTAGGAAACCTGTTACTCTATGTGTACTTTTGCAGAGCATCCAGGTGGCAGCAGAACTTTACATAAACCACTCTAAACATAGACCAGAGCAGAACTTTCCTTTTGCAGAATATCATTGGGTGGGGAGAAGTGTGGCACTTACTTTCACCTCTCTGCTCAGGCTGGAGATAGCTTGTTTCTCTGCAAGTTAACTCTCCCATTTGGTTATAAGCCCAGCTGTCTGCATGTTCTTCATCTACAGCATCACTTTTGCCAGCTTTTGTTTCCTCCAAATCTCTTCTTTGGAAGGGAGCCAGCCTTTAGTAGTATGTTCCTTGCAGAAATTGTGTTACTAACTATTCAGACTGCTTCCCAGGCACCTAGGTAAGCACAGAGATGCCTTTCATGGGACGTATCTGCCCCTGGAGCATAGGCTGATCCTTGTAAACAGGAGAATAGAGCCTTCTGAGCTGGGATGAATCTTGCCCCACGTAGCGCAGAGTCCACGTGAGGCACCTGTAAACCTAATGTTTAAAAAAGTCTTGTTCTACTAAGCACAATGAAGCTTGACTTCTGCATATGTCAGTTTGGAGCATCTGCATCTTTCTAAGTAAGTACAGTAAGCAAGCTATCTATCCTGCAGGACAATGAGGGATGCTTAGTTTTCATCTATCCATGTGAACCCAAATATCATCCTTTGTGAATCCTTGTCCCAGCTCTTTCCTCTGCAAATTTCCCTATTGAGTTCAGTGGGACCAAATAGAAGAACTGTGCCATCAGGGGTATTGTCAGACTCCCGGGGCGTGCAGTGCTGTACCATTGCCTACACTCGTGTTTCCCTCATCAACACAAATAAACTACCACAAAGATATTTTTACAGAGAAGTAATGTCAATATGGGCACAGGCCTAGGTGACACTCCCTTACTTCTTCTGAGGTTGGAAGGTGTGCACTGTAAAACAAATGTCAGTGAGGATAGTAGGAAACTGTGATGTATCTTTAATTTGGAAAGCAATTTGGCTTCTAAAACAAAGACGACAGGGAGACAGCTCAGTCATGTCCCATACTTGCTACATAGTTGAGACACAGTGAAATACATTGGACTAAAATGAAAAAAAAAAAAAAAAAAAAAAACAAAAAAAAAGCACAAGGTTACATATACGAGAACTTAAGAGGAAAAGTATCAAATGTGATTTATTATATGCATAACGTTCCATTGTGTTGTAAATAAAGCCATTAAAGTGTATTGCTGTAGTTTGTTCTTGGCTGGTGGTAGAGTTCTGTCATAGTGCTGTAGAAGTCTGTTTTTCTAATTTTTCTTTTCTTCAAAGTGTAATTAGTAAAGTTGGCAGAGAGCACCCAGTCCTCTACTTTCCTAGTTGTTCTAGAGCAAAAAGAAATGTGATATGCAGTTTTTGTTCTCCTTTCTTACATGATAATATTTATAAAAGAGGTAAGAATGAGAAGGTCAAGGCTAAGCTGCCACTACCACCACATGAAAAAACACTGTCTGTGATTGCCAATGAGGTGGTGCATTCTGGACCATAAATAAGACAACCTGTCCCTGTTAGAAGGGATGAAGAGCACAGCAACCTGCTAACAGCCATCGAGTACATCTTCTGTTCACAAAGGGAATGACAAGGAAATAGAGTTGTTAAACCTAATCTCAGGCTTCACCAGCTTTGTAGCATTCTGCTTAAATAGCATAGGAAACAATTAACCTTTGAACCAGGCAAAATAATAGGAAAACCCAAGTATCTTGGCTAGCTCAGCTTTGCAAACGAGATTACAGTTACAAGTCCACCAACAGGTTATTGCAACAAATGCATCACAAATGCAAACGGCACCTGTCACCAACAATTACCAAACAAAGATCATCTTAGTAACTTCTCATTTTTGAGGGTTTTTTTTCTTTTTTCTCCTCCTTTTTCTTTGAAGCAAGCTGCTTGTAGTTTTTACTGACAACATTTCTGGTGATTATCTTGTAGTACTGAATACTGCGCACATGCAGGTGGCTGGAGTGGCAGCTTGAAGCACAAACCCATCATGGTTAAGAAGCACTCAGTCTTCTTATGTGCAGAAGCCCATATGCAAGCCACACAAACTAAATGTGTGGGGCTTCTGCAGCTTTGCACAATACAGGAGACAGATGTGCACTGACTGCAGTAGGTACTCAGCACCACGTTCCCCTTCTGCCAAGCAACCTTCCTTTTGTTCTGTTTGTTATTGGAAGCAAATACAAGCAGAATATCACTTTTTCCCCCCAATTGGAAGATTTCTATTATTTTTCCTTAAATCAGTAGATATAAATATTTATGGATCCGGATTGCATCCTTTCATCATGATTGCTGATACCACCTCCCTTAAATGTTGTCAATAAAAACACTGACCTTTCTAGGTAGCATGGTGAGAAGATATTATGTGATGAATATTAAAATAAATGCATGAGGTAAAACTGCTGTTATTTCTGATTGTTATATGAAGCATGAATAACACTGATTTAAATGTTGGCAACCAAAAAACGTGCAAAGGAATAAGATAACGGTGTTCACTTCTGGTTAAGTGAAAGACGAGAAGTTGTTTCTGTTTTCTTTTAACCACGATGTTCTTTTCTTCAGCATCATCTCCCACAGCTTATATGAATTTGGAACTGGTGAAATATACATCTCTTCTGTATGTGTCTGTCACCAGATCGAGAGGAAAATATAAACTTTTTATAATTTTGTATCTGTAGCAAAGTTTGTATTTTTTGAATTGGAAACAAACTGCTTTTTGTCTTTTGGTCTGACTAAAACTTTGTGTATTATTATTATTACTCTTTTGGAAAAACCTGACGTATGAGTTTATGCCATTTTACAATTTCTAAATAAATTCTTAAAACATTGCCAACAAATCCAACATCAGTACCTTGTTCGTTATTACTGAGTAAGCTGTCTTGTGTGGATGGGGCACTCGTGCAGGACACGTGCCAAACTGCTGATACCTACTTCATTACCACAGCCAAGAGCAATTCAGAGAAAGCCAGTCTCTTACTCAGATAAACCATCCATGTCTCACCTTTACACATATGCCAGATTCAAACACCTCTCTCTCAGCACCGCTGTATTAGCTCTGACTCGCGTGTTCCTTAGGGTCATGAGGTAGGAATACAAGACAGAAAAGGTAAAACTTCATAACAGTTTAAAATTACATGTACTGCTGATGCTGCAAACCATCATCAAGCAGATGCCTCGAGAGGCTCCAAAAAAAGCGCATTTAAGCTAAGCAACCCAATGAATGCCTGTTAATAAAGAAGAAAGCACAGTAATACACTGGGAGCAGTGCTAGGGAAAGAACAGAGGCCCATCCAAACCAAACAAATGACAGTAAGCAAAGATAAGCATACAAAAACATCATCCATCATGGTGATAGGGTGTTTTTAAGCAAGAGACAACTTGGCATCAGCTCCTTCACTGCATAGACTTCTATTGGGAGGAGAAAATAAATAAATAAATAAATAAAATCAATGGCTTCAGCATATGGGGAAACAGTAATAAAGCTTAGCACAGTTAGAGGCATGAGAAAACACAGATAGGAAACATTTAAAGATATCTCCTTTTCTCCCTCATTCTGCTACTTGACTGCAGACAGGACGCAAAAATAAATGGTCCCTGCTTCCCCTTACCTATAATGAATCAGTTATTCTGTCAGTACTGGTTTCATGCATCAGCATATGTCTCCAAAACAACTGTTTGCTGGTTGAACACACACTTTCACACTCTGTTAATTAATAACACATTCTAGTTCAGAGAAACAGTAAATGCATAAATGTTTCTCAACGGTTGTTAGCCAAATTGCAGTCATTATAATTTTTGTTAGTCATGATAATTTTTGCTAATGTGTCCAGTTACAAAACTGGGCTAAAGCTATCATATTTTACTGAGAACATGATCCTGCAAGTATGTAGCATGGCTAACTGAAATCACCTCAATGATTTGATCTTAAAAAGACACACCACCACATAACAAAAAAACATACACACCAACATTATAGGTGTGAGAAACTGTAGCTTCTTGAATAAGCTTTTAATTTTTCCAAGTTTTTTGTTTCACTGTCAAATTAGCATTCCAATTTTCTTCTTTTTATTTTAAGAACTGAATTTCATTCAACTCTAACTCTTTTTCTGGTCTTTTAAAACTTGACACAAGGACTGCAAAATTCAGACGCTTCCTTTAGACCAAGTTTCACTCCCAAAAACATTTTGGCAGTTGTAGAGGTGGGAAAAGAACTTAACCCTTTAAATTACCTAGGCTGAGTGAGGATGAACTCCCACTGCACATAATACCCAAATCCAGATGAACAGAATTTCATGTAGAAGAGAGCATTAAAAATAAACAAACACCAAACTCAAGGATCAACCAGGAATTAAAAGATACAGGTTATTCCATAACATCCAAAGCTCATCTATTGCCTCAGCAAGTTTTGATGCTCTCTACACAATTGGGCTTGGTGATTACACCGTCACATGCAATCATGATTTGACATTTCTTAAGTCTGCATATTCAGTAACTAGTTAGGATTGTTAATTCCAGTGCGAATTTGCAACCAATGCTGATTAAGCAATTACAAAGTGTGATAACAGCGTTTAGCAATCCAGCTTAGAGCCATGTGGGAAGAGCGTGCAGAAACACTCCCTTCCTCTTTTTACCTCACTGTTTTCCTCTGGGCTCCCTCCCTTTGAGTCCTCAAACTGTATTGGCACAGTGCTTCTCCAAGACTTGAAAGTAAGGTGAAAGGTACAGGGGAAAGATCGTGTGAGAAAGTATTCCATCCTGTGCTGTAGTTCCCCCACATCAAGATAATTTCTTATCCTGGGAAGGGAGCAGCTTCTGGTGTTGCTGTTCTCATTGCTAGCTGCAAGCTGGCTCAGACTTCACTGTTCACTGAGGTTAGAGATCAGCTTATTCAGGTTCCCACTAGGCTGCTAGGAAGCATGTTTTCAAATCCTCATAGGTAAGCTGAATTTCACTTGTACATATAAAGAAGCATCTCCAATAATGGCTATTTTCTTTCTCATGTATATCTGCTTCACTGCCACAACTACTCAATAACCTTAAATATAAAAAAAACAAAGCATGAACTTCTTTCCTTTGTTTTTATCAGTAGGTTAACTGTTAAATGACAAACAAGTTAACCATGAACAATGTGTAGCTACTGGATGTCTGTACCTCATCTGGCATTCAGCTCAGGTCTTGAACGTTGCCTGTTTTTTATACTGTCTTACAACATGATCACCCCAAAACAATAATCTGAAACTACTTATTTGGTGTTCTCTGTAGATATACAAGTTCAGCCTCCACCTCTTACCTTCAGAAGAATCTCATTTTTCATTCTTGAGAAGATAATTCTGAAATCTTAAAAGGCTTTGCTGGGCATGAAAACTGTTTTGTAGTTCCACTCTCCACTAACAACTCAGATAAACACAGAAAAGATGTATGCCTGATATAGAACACCTACTTCAGGTTAAGAGAAAATAAGGTACAGCTTTTGCCATATTTCTTCCAGATGAAAGCAAAGAGATATACATTTTAATATATAATTCACTAGGTGGATTAATTTTTCACTTAGCACCAATAAGTTAATTCTAGAAAGTAAAGCACTTTCTTTAGCACATATAAAAACAACCCATGTAACCTTCTTAATTATCAAAAAGTCTTTCTTTTATTTATAACATGGTAAATTGTCATATTCTCCCAAGAATAGGAGATAGAAAACCCTGCAAGAAAAAATAAGGTAAATGAATTAGGACATGGTGGCAGGGCAAGGCTTATGTAAGTCTCTTCTGGTGGCAACAGGAGTTCTGTTTTAATGCTTTTCATCCATTTCATTTGGTATCATAAGTTCATTTGATAACTTTAGTTGATTTAATTTTCTTTATGTCACCGCTTTGCAGAATCAAGGTCCCATCTCTGAATTTTCCAACTTGTCCCGCAGGCCAAATGCTGGGCACTGATCTCTTCCTTTTGGCCTTTCTGAAATAGTAACAAAGGAAAACGAATCAAGAGAAACACCAGAAACTCATTAAAACATTCAATACATTGAAAACTATCACCTATTTATGCAGTCAGCATTCATATTATGGAATACCAAATTACAGCATGTATTGGTCCCAGAACATTTATTACCTGTGTTACTGGTCAAAACTTGCAGCACATTACAGAATGAACTACATTAAAAGAAATATTTGAAAACAAAGATTTTCAGATAAAGAAGATAAAGAGTCTCACATTTCAGCCTGCCTGCTACACTATAATTAAGAATGTCACTGTACTTTTCAAGCCTCTATTTGCTGTACCTTGTTGTTTTGCAAAAGTTGTTTCTCAGGGCAAATGCTCTGAGCAAATGTCACATCCTGGCTCCCCACACAGGGATTTCCATCCATCCTAGCTGTCATCTTAAACACGCCAGGGCAGAACTGACATCTTTTCACTGAGGCTGCATAACTAAAGCCTCAGAAACTGCTAAACATGGAACAAGGTCACCATTTTGTAACGAGAATTCTGCAGTTTGAAAAATTCACAAATGGTATTAAATTGTTACGCATGGTTACGTAGGGATAATACACCAGCAAGACTATATCAAAGAAACATAACAGCATTCAAAATTTCTCACCTCTCCTTCAAGTCTTTCTTCTTCTTCTTCTTCAGAGAATCACCTTTTTGTACCTGTGTTTAAAGATGCCTATTTTAATGGCAAAGGGACAGGTTTTTTTGGCTAACCACCTCCCCAAACACACAACATCCAGTTGTTTTTGCTTCACTGAACCAGATGTATGAAAACAGGTTGGGATACCTTTTGATAGGATAAATGATGCAATGCCTCACAGGGCACTATGCCCAGAGCTCTTCCTGTCACCTTGTGGAAAGCACAGTCCACCCACGACCAAAATGCTACCCCTGCCACGTAAGGGCACACAAATCCAGCCACACAAGGGGTACAAGATAGATCCTTGAGTCAAAAGATCTACTTAGTAGCAGGCAAGTACATCTAGCTGCCTGACTGAGCACACTGTCAGATGACAGGGTTTGCCAGTGTTTGGTCATAAGCTGGGTGTGCTTTAAGCCACGTGATAAAGGAGAAATAGGTCCCCTGAAAAAGAAGGTGGCAAAAGACAAGTTGGTGGAGCAGAAACCTGCCTGGCAGCCTGCTCCCACCTACAGCACAGGCAGGGAACAGGCTTGGGGCCAGATGGACCATGCTAGAGGATGGATGCAACACAAACCTCACCCTCGCTTTAAATAATGAGCAAGATCCTAGATGGAATTGCACTGATATAAAACCAGCTGAACATCTGGCTTCCCGTGGTTAGATAAAATGCAACAAACATTAATTGGAGACCAATTTTTTTTTTTTCCCTTGGAAAAAAAAAAAAAACAAAACCAAAACACAGAAAAACTGCTTATTTTGCATCATCAATCTACCATCCTCCACAGATAGGGCACTGAAACCCACCACAGCACAGTTTGAATTCTGTACCCTTCCTACTGCACATGACAAGCTCTGACTGGTGAGATGAGTTGTGCTGGAGTCAAGCTCACCTCATGAGAGCAGCAGGTGTCAAACTCAGGCACTCCTCCTGTGCCTGAGGCATTATTGGGCTTTTGGGCTAGATCTTACATGTTGACTTTTTATAGACAAAATGTCACACAAACCTGTCCCTTATCATCATCCTTTGTTGTTTTCTTCACCTTCATTTTCTCCTGGTATTTCTTGTAGTTGATGTGTTCCTTTTTGGGAGGCTGGAATAAAGATTGGGAGTGATACCTCTGCTGAAATTTTCAAATAGATTCAGAAATATTCACATACTTGCATGGAAATTATTGTTCAGGTGGTGGGTAAGC